TATATGCCCAACACGCATGAAGGCGTGAAAAATAGTTTTTTACTTTACGCAACTTAGAAATTATAATTAGAGCACCAGTAAAGTTCAATGCATTTATTGCTGTTATGTACTCTGCTGCCTGTGGAGCATAGGCCCGACACTGGTGGGTAAGACAAGCAGCCTGCTCAAACCAATGATGCATGATGCATTTTTTCTATCTATCGATGTTCTTTTACCCCACTAGGACATCACACAAGCGATAAACACCCGATGACACAAAGTGCCACTATGTGGGTGAGGATCACTGTGATGTTTGTTCTTTATCTTCTTCCTCCGCTTCCTAATTTCTTTATTTCTTTCCCTTTTCCTTTTCCCTTGTCTTTCCTTTACATTTTCTTCTTCTCTTCTGTTCGTCTTCCTCTTCTTCTTTTTTCTTTAATTGGTTCTTTCTTCTTTTTTTTTCTTCTTCTTCTTCTTCTTCTTCTTCTTCTTCTTCTTCTTCTTCTTCTTCTTCTGTTTCTTCTTCTTCTTTTTCTCTACTTCTTGTTCCTCTTTGAAGTCTCCTCCTCCTCCTCCTGCTCTTACTCCTTCTCCTTTACTTTCTCCTTCTTCTTTGTCCCCAAATGGACCAAAAGCTCTTAGCTAACACTCTAAACTTTCCTTTCTTTTGCCGTCTTCTTCTCCGTGTTCTCGAGATACTGTAAACATCTGTCTCTTATCTTTCTTCTACCTGCGTCTCTCTTTATATATATATATTTTTTTTTTCTTTTCCCGTAGGCCTCAGTGCATTGGCATTTTATCTAAGTATCGAAGGTCATGTTCTCTTAAATTATGTTTTATCTGGACTCTTCTCGAGTTGCTAGGATGTGTAATCTTCTCTCCATAAGCTTGGCGTTAGTGATTCTGTTAGGCTGTTTTATACTTTTTGTTCTGCAGTTACAAGTGAAAGAATATTTATAGTTTATTGCTGTCTTAGTCATCCTATATATTTATGACAATATAATTATCGCTCTTAAATCTAATTCTTCTTCTTCTTCTTTGTTCACTGGCTGAAAGCTCTAAAGGAAAGTCCACGTTGTTCGTTCATTTGGACTTTGGTTTTGCGTGTACATCCCTTTCACTTGCTTATCTGTGTGCAGTTTGTTGATGGAACCCTCACATGGCAAATGTAATTCGTAACTTTACTGTTGAAATGTAACTGTTTCAATTTTTTTAATGTTATTTTTTGCATTCCAATATCCATTCATGTTTCCTCCTGACACTACCATTGTCTGTTATTAATTGTTCCAAGCAGGAAACATTGGCTCGTTGGAACAAAACAGAAACAAAAACGTGAACAAGCAGGCACGGATTTCAAGCTAGTCTAAACAAGCTTTTCGCGGCTTAGTGGCTTAGTGATTGGTGAGCGCTTTAGAGAATCCTTAACAAACAGGATGTCCGAGGCTGGCGGTGTAGAAACCGACGGTTTTCGTTGCTTTATGACAGTATTCGAGAATCACACCTGAGAAGAGACAGGGGTTTTCTCCTGCCAGTTCACGAGGTGTGGCGTTGCTGGTCATGTCTATCCACAACCTTCTGTCTCGTGTACTTTCAAACACATTTGGCACAAATGATCCTCCATACCACGATGTCAAAATGTCCATCACCTTCTCTCTCGGTCTCCCTCTGCCTCTCTTCCCTTCCAACTTTCCCACAGTCACCATGTACACCAGTTTTCTTCTTCTCATGACATTAACCATGAATATAGATTGTCTCCTTCAGTTCTCATTGTGAGTCAGTTTCTTTCGAGACATCTTCATTACTATTTCTATCTGTTCAGGGTATTCTCACCAATCGTATACAAAACCACATCTCCGCCCTCACCTATACAAAGCCACATCTCCGCTCTCACCTATCGTATACAAAGCCACATCCCCGCTCTCACCAATCGTATACAAAGTCACATCCCGGCTCTCACCAATCGTATACAAAGCCACATCTCCGCTCTCACCAGTTGTATACAAAGCCACATCCCCACTCTCACTAGTTGTATACAAAGCCACATCCCCGCCCTCATCAATCGTATACAAAGCCACATCCCCGCTCTCACTAGTTGTATACAAAGCCACATCCCCGCTCTCACTAGTTGTATACAAAGCCACATCTCCGCTCTCACTAGTTGTATACAAAGCCACATCCCCACTCTCACTAGTTGTATACAAAGCCACATCCCCGCTCTCACTAGTTGTATACAAAGCCACATCCCCGCTCTCACTAGTTGTATACAAAGCCACATCCCCGCTCTCACCAATCGTATACAAAGTCACATCCCGGCTCTCACCAATCGTATACAAAGCCACATCTCCGCTCTCACCAGTTGTATACAAAGCCACATCTCCGCTCTCACTAGTTGTATACAAAGCCACATCCCCACTCTCACTAGTTGTATACAAAGCCACATCCCCGCTCTCACTAGTTGTATACAAAGCCACATTCCCACTCTCACTAGTTGTATACAAAGCCACATCCCCACTCTCACTAGTTGTATACAAAGCCACATCCCCGCTCTCACCAATCGTATACAAAGTCACATCTCCGCTCTCACTAGTTGTATACAAAGTCACATCCCCGCTCTCACCAATCGTATACAAAGCCACATCCCGGCTCTCACCAATCGTATACAAAGCCACATCTCCGCTCTCACCAGTTGTATACAAAGCCACATCCCCACCCTCATCAATCGTATACAAAGCCACATCCCCGCTCTCACTAGTTGTATACAAAGCCACATCCCCGCCCTAATCAATCGTATACAAGCCACATCTCCGCTCTCATCAATCGTAAACAAAGCCACATCCCCGCTCTCATCAATCGTATACAAAGCCACATCTCCGCTCTCACTAGTTGTATACAAAGCCACATCCCCGCTCTCACTAGTTGTATACAAAGCCACATCCCCGCCCTAATCAATCGTATACAAAGCCACATCCCCGCTCTCACTAGTTGTATACAAAGCCACATCTCCGCTCTCACCAATCGTATACAAAGTCACATCTCCGCTCTCACCAATCGTATACAAAGCCACATCCCCGCCCTCATCAATCGTATACAAAGCCACATCTCCGCTCTCATCAATCGTATACAAAGCCACATCTCCGCTCTCATCAATCGTATACAAAGCCACATCTCCGCTCTCATCAATCGTATACAAAGTCATATCTCTGCTCTCACCAATTGTATACAAAACCACATCTCCGCTCTCACCAATCGTATACAAAACCACATCTCCGCAGCTTCCGAATAGGTTTTCACTCGACGACCAACTATCCATTGTTTATTTCCGGAAATGACGGTAAGATTCTAATAGCTTTCAAAAATTTTCTTTCTGGTCTCGAACCCAACCAAGCAGTATTCGTAAAGACAGCAGCAGATGCGAATAAACGCTACGAAAACTGAGGTATTGAGACTAGGCAGAAAACACAGCATGAACGTTCATGTTAATGGCAATACAGTCAAACAAGTACCTAGATTCAAATATCTGGGAAGCATATTTACGGAGGATGGCAGACTCGATAGAGAGATAGAAGCCATAATACAGAAGGCAAATTCTGTCATCTACTACCTAGACGCACTACTTAGACACCCAAATGCTGTCATCTACTACCTAGACGCACTACTTAGACACCCAAATGCTGTCATCTACTACCTAGACGCACTACTTAGACACCCAAATGCTGTCATCTACTACCTAGACGCACTACTTAGACACCCAAATGCTGTCATCTACTACCTAGACGCACTACTTAGACACCCAAATGCTGTCATCTACTACCTAGACGCACTACTTAGACACCCAAATGCTGTCATCTACTACCTAGACGCACTACTTAGACACCCAAATGTCTCAATTCTAGCAAAGCATCAAATTATTAATAACATCTTATCCCTACTTTATGCTAGCAGTGCCAAACATGGACAACAAATAGGGCACTAGAACAGAAAATAACTACCTGTGAAATGCGCTGTCTTCGTAAGGTCACTATCAACACAGGAAGGGACGGGATTACGGATGCCAGCATTAGATAGAAAGTTGAAATAAGACCGTGTCTGGATTATATTCACAGACATAGAATGAATGGTTCGGCCGTCTAGTGAGACTTCAACCAGACCAAACTTTATCTATAATTTTTTTTTTACCACAAAACATCTGAGAGGTAGGCGAGGAGAAGACCAAGATATAGACAAATACATGGTGTCGCTGAAACCTGCAAACAGATGAACAACTCTATCACCTGAACCACCCGAGAAGCACGAGATAAATGCAGAAATCTACGACACTGGCTACAACCTGCGATCAGTGAGCCGACAAAAGAAGAAAAGGTAGTGGATAGGCATGTCCGCCACAACACGCCTCCCTCAGAACAAATAAGAATAAACTCCACAGGGGAGCATGTACAGCAGGGGTCTACCAATCATCAGTAGAAGTAACCTCTCGTCGACAAATGTTTCGGCCCACGAGCTCCTATACATTTTCAGAGAGTGGGCCCACCTGAGTTCATGAAGCTCAGGGTTGGTTTCCCCTGCTGCACCAATTACCGGATGTTATTCGGACAGGGACAAGACGAGTTGGTGATTTTGCATAATGTACTGTGAGATAAGAAGAATATAACCCCTCCCCCCCCCCCCCCCCCCCCCCCCCCCCCCCCCCCCCCCCCCCCAAGAGAAACACCTAAATAGATAGCTTCTAAACATGATTAAAAACCTTTAGAACAAAACTGAAATCATCAACTCAGTGCGGACTAAGCTGGCGAACAATAATGAATCTCTTATGCTAATACGGTTGCGTGATCTGGAAATAAAGCTAGGTAAAGCACATTTTTTGCCGTCTCCGAGAATTAGGATAAGAGACACCATGACGAACTTTTGCTGGGAGCAATAAGTAGAGGTTCAATGGAGTGCTGCTGCATTGGAGGACTGAGCGCGCATGGGAATGGCCAATGAGCATTGACGTCGACTGTGATAACATAACATATTACATAGAGCCTCACAATACACGGTGGTCGCACAATACACATAGGCCTCATAATACACTGGGCCTCACAATGCTTCCGAATATACAAGACTCAGATGTTTTTTTTTTTTTTCTCTCAAATAATTTATTTGGGACATAGACATTTCTCCCACCGAACTAGCTTCCGGTTTCAAAACCGCCTCCATTAATTAACCTGTCAGTCTATAATGCCTTAATTAAAAACTAAATTGTGTTTTTAATTTCACGTGTCTCGCCTTGAAAAAATAACAGGCGCGTCAGTATAAGTTTTCAAGTGTAGCGAAACCTTTTGGTGAAAGCTTGCAAACAGAAGGTATCAGGATTTCACATAACATAACCTGCATAAGGCATCGCCTAGTCTAAATCCGGCAGGGACACAGCGGGGTCGCCGGAAACTGGGAGCTTAGTCTCCAGGGTTGCTCCCGTCCACTTTCTGGAAACCTGAAGAAAGAGCTTCCCTCGTCCCACCCCTAGACGTTTTCTAAAGTAACAGGGGCACTCTCTCACATATAATCATGTTTAAAAGCTATCTATTTAGGTGTTTCTTTTTTTTTTTGGGGGGGGGGGGGAGGGGGGGTGTTATATTATTTGTCATTCAGCATATTATTATTTTTATTACGCACTTAAACAAATGTTAGAACCCATGAGCGGATCCTCCCCCCCCCCCCTCCTCCTTCTTTTTTGGTTTTGTTTTCTACATTCCAACGTATAAAAAAAGATGTTTCAGTGGTTCAGCGCCCCGTCCCCGAATGTTTTCCTTGAGTCAGCACCCTGGCTACATATACATTATACAGTATTTATAAACCAGCGTTAACTTTCTCATCCAGGTAGACTTGTTTTGTGCCGAAATCTTTTCCGGGCAGGCCTAGTCTCATTAAAATTGTACAAAAGAATTTTTTTCTAGACGACACGGCGGTAATTCGTCAAAAAACCGGGGTTAACTGAAGGGAGACAGGGGTAGTAACATCTAGGGAGATCTGCATGCAGTACACAGCAGATCTGCTGTACACAGCACGGGCTAGTTGTTTTAAACATCATTTGTTTGAGCGCTCTGGTTAAGAGACACTAAGTGGTTCATTATCATCATTCGTAACACTACGTGTCGTTGGGTCACTAGTATCTGATCAGCTCTCTTTGACCTTTGGCGGTCAGTTGCGATGGATTTCATGGTTGCATGCCTGAGGCCTGTCCAGTCAGTCAGGTTCTGTAACCAGGTCCTTCTTGGCCAGCCTCTTCTCCTCTTCCTTCTGCTGAGTCCTGCAGTATTGTTTTTGAGAGACCGTTAGATCTGATTATGTGACCATACCAACGAATTTTTCGCTTTATTACTGTAGTTAAAAGAGGTTCATAGTTGCCGATGTGCTATATCATTTTATGGCGAACCTTTGTATCCTCTGTATGATATGCCACGAATTTTTCTCAAACATGGCGTTTCTAATACTTGTATCTTTCTTGGCACACTTTTTAGGCACTTTATAATGAGTGCCGGCACCTATTTCCATTGTTAATAATGCAGAACACATACCATGCATAGCGTAGGAGTCTACAAATGAGGGTTCGCAGAAAACTAGCTGCTTTATTTGTGGCTTCAAAATCTAAAACTACCATTAATAATAAAGACAAAGAGCGATTTCTCAGGACATATGGGCCAAGCCGCTGACAATATGTGATGATGGTACAAAAACGTGATCCTTTAATATCAAACAAAACAAAAACATGTATATCAAAGTACTGCATATGGGGTCCCAAACACTTACCAGCTTAAGTTGAGAAAGGTATCGAATATGTTTTGCTCTTTACCCAGTTCTTTTTCTGGTAATATTATTTCGTTATCGTGTCGTTTCGTTAGTAAAGATTTGATCTGATTTGATTTGATTCAACAACCGATATCAGAGCACTCAGGGCATTCCCATAAGTGCTCCGTCCCCATCTTCAGCAGCCAGCGAAGAGTTCCGATACTAATGGTGCCAGTAGAACTCTGATTAAACGTCCGTCTTGCTTTTTCTCTGAGCCTCGAGCATCTGCCAGAACCTCTCATCACTCCTCCCTGCATTAATCTCGCCGGACTGTGGCGATCCATCTGCTTCTCCAAGCTGTACACACTCTCCCACAAGGCACTAACCCCGTCTGCCATGTCATGCATCAGTATTTTACCAAGTAGTGCAGAGCCAGCCAGTCTGTACCCCTGTTCATTTCTTACCACACCGGCGTGCCCCGGTGAAAAAATCCAGACAAAACTCTTCACCCGTGTGCTCAGCAGCGAGGCATGCAACTCTGCACGAAGCATGCCTGTCCCGATTTTCCTCAGCATGCTTTCTGAGTCAGTTACAATCATGATGTGTGTGTGTGTGTGTGTGTGTGAGTGTGAGTGTGAGTGTGAGTGTGAGTGTGAGTGTGAGTGTGTGTGTGTGTGTGTGTGTGTGTGTGTGTGTGTGTGTGTGTGTGTGTGTGTGTGTGTGTGTGTGTGTGTGTGTGTGTGTGTGTGTGTGTGTGTGTGTGTGTGTGTGTGTGTGTGTGTGTGTGTGTGTGTGTGTGTGTGTGTGTGTGTGTGTGTGTGTGTGTGTGTCGCGTTTTCTAACCAGCGGAAAGCTGTAGTGACCGCCTCCACCTCCATTCTTAAGCTGGATGTTGTGGTATCATATGCTAGGCTAGTTAAGAAGTTACGTTCTATGCCAGTCGTCTATTTGTAAAGGAATGAGGTTCTTTACAACACTCTTTAATAAATATGTTGTGCTTCTGACATAACTCTTTCATAGGTAACGACAGTGAGTTTTTTTTTTTTTTTTTTTTTGTAACCAACTTCTTTAGAAAGTAAAGCAGTCAAGATGAAGTTACATTTGTAAAAGAGATGTGTTCTTCACACGCCTGTTTAGTTAACCAAAGAAATTGTGTTCTCTACCACAGGGTATTGCTAATAATGCAGGGACGTTCTTTACCGCGTTGTTCCCTTGATGACCAAGTTACTTTCATTGCTGCAATCTTTCATTGGTATTTGCATGCATTAAAGAAGACTTCTCCAATTGACTTTAGGCAAAGCTTGTATAATCAGACAAAAACATAGCGCCCAGAGGTTATATACTCTCATTGCTATTATTAATGCCGTTCTTGGCTTTTCTACACTTACCTAGCCAGAGCTGAAGCCAATGAAGTGGGCGGTATTAATAAATACGTTAACGTGTAGATACGCTTGTGCAGTCAAAATCTGAAGCAAGGCAGTGTTGCATTGTAAACATACCTGTCTGCCTCGCTCGACACATCAACAGCGTTAATTTGTATGCAACTTATATCAGAACAAAGGAACAGTCTAATAATATATATGACTGTGAAAACGTATTTAGGACATTACTACACTACTTTCTAAACCACAAGTGGTACTTTGTGTGTTATTGGTGTTGATGTTAAATGTAACCTCTAAAATGCAACATGAAAATGAATGGGACAATCCTCGATACGTTTACTACTTGGGTATCTTGATAACAAGAAATGGAAGATGTATTAAAGAGGCTAAATGTAGAATAGTTCAAGCAAAGGCAGTATTTTACAAAATCAAGAGAATAGTATGCAATCTTTTTTGTCAACTGAGACGAGGAAAAAGACTTCTCAGGAACTATATGAATCCTAGCCTGATTTACAGAAGCACATCATGGACAACTGGATAATTACGGAAAAATTATTTGGAAGGGGCGGAGATGTGGTTTTATAGACGAATGATGAGAATATCCCAAACAGATTTTAAAAGAAAAAGACTAATAAAGATGTCTTTAAGAATAACTGACTAATTCGAAGAGGGCAATCAACATTCTTTGACATTATCATGAGAAGAAACAAATCTGGTGTACATCGTGACAGTGGGAAAGTTGGAGGCGAAAAGTGGCAGAGGGAGACCAAGAGAGAAAATGCTTGATAGTCTGATGTCATAGAATGGAAGATCGTCTTTGTCAGAACTGACTGAAGGTACCCGAGACAGAAGGTTGTAGATAGACATGAATACCAACGCCACACGGCATGGACTATGGAAGATCTTCTGTGTCAGAATTGACTGAAGGTATCCGGGACAGAAGGTTGTGGATAGACATGAATACCAACGCCACACGGCATGGACTATGGAAGATCATCTGTGTCAGAATTGACTGAAGGTACACGAGACAGAAGGTTGTGGATAGACATGAATACCAACGCCACACGGCATGGACTATGAAAGATCATCTGTGTCAGAATTGACTAAAGGTACACGAGACAGAAGGTAGTGGATAGACATGAATACCAACGCCACACGGCATGGACTATGGAAGATCATCTGTGTCAGAATTGACTGAAGGTACACGAGACAGAAGGTTGTGGATAGACATGAATACCAACGCCACACGGCATGGACTATGGAAGATCTTCTGTGTCAGAATTGACTGAAGGTACACGAGACAGAAGGTTGTGGATAGACATGAATACCAACGCCACACGGCATGGACTATGGAAAATCCTCTGTGTCAGAACTGACTGAAGGTACACGAGACAGAAGGTTGTGGATAGACATGAATACCAACGCCACACGGCATGGACTATGAAAGATCATCTGTGTCAGAATTGACTGAAGGTACCCGGGACAGAAGGTTGTGGATAGACATGAATACCAACGCCACACGGCATGGACTATGGAATATCATCTGTGTCAGAATTGACTAAAGGTACACGAGACAGAAAGTTGTGGATAGACATGAATACCAACGCCACACATCATGGACTACAAGTAGTTTTGGTGTTATTATTTTTTATTATAAATATACCATTTTTAACTCTACAGAGTGTGTTATTCCTCAATACAATCTTTCCCCCAGTGTATTGCCCGCGGACCGAAACGGTCAGTGGAGCATATTTGATGGATCTAGGATATCCTTTAACAAAACAGTTGTTTAGTGTCCTTTACAGAATGTTGCAGAATCTACCCCAGCCAATCTTGTCTGTACGTGAATGTTTTATGCAATTTTAAATTCAGTAGTTTGCCACTGCTTACTCGACGGTCGGCTCTCGATACCACTGTCAAAACCAAAACCAACGCAAGTCGGTCTGCTGCCAAATAGCTCACACACCCAAATGTTCGCTTGAGTCTTGTAAGATCACGAGTGGGACAGTCACCACCCTGCGCTATACAATCCTTCGAGATGAGAATTTACTTCATGCTTTGTTGTTCGCTTGAGTCTTGTAAGCTCACGAGTGGGACAGTCACCACCCCTGCGCTATACAATCCTTCGAGATGAGAATTTACTTCATGCTTTGTTGTTCGCTTGAGTCTTGTAAGCTCACGAGTGGGACAGTCACCACCCCTGCGCTATACAATCCTTCGAGATGAGAATTTACTTCATGCTTTGTTGTTCGCTTGAGTCTTGTAAGCTCACGAGTGGGACAGTCACCACCCCTGCGCTATACAATCCTTCGAGATGAGAATTTACTTCATGCTTTGTTGTTCGCTTGAGTCTTGTAAGCTCACGAGTGGGACAGTCACCACCCCTGCGCTATACAATCCTTCGAGATGAGAATTTACTTCATGCTTTGTTGTTCGCTTGAGTCTTGTAAGCTCACGAGTGGCACAGTCACCACTCCTGCGCTATACAATCCTTCGAGATGAGAATTTACTTCATGCTTTGTTGTTCGCTTGAGTCTTGTAAGCTCACGAGTGGCACAGTCACCACTCCTGCGCTATACAATCCTTCGAGATGAGAATTTACTTCATGCTTTGTTGTTCGCTTGAGTCTTGTAAGATCACGAGTGGGACAGTCACCACCCCTGCGCTATACAATCCTTCGAGATGAGAATTTACTTCATGCTTTGTTGTTCGCTTGAGTCTTGTAAGCTCACGAGTGGGACAGTCACCACCCCTGCGCTATACAATCCTTCGAGATGAGAATTTACTTCATGCTTTGTTGTTCGCTTGAGTCTTGTAAGCTCACGAGTGGGACAGTCACCACCCCTGCGCTATACAATCCTTCGAGATGAGAATTTACTTCATGCTTTGTTGTTCGCTTGAGTCTCGCGTGCACATCCGTTTTGCAGTAGCTTATTTGTATGCACACTGTTGGTTCCTCGACTCTCAGACAGACGCACTCCGACTTCGAAGAAAATACTCCTAATTAGTCGGCTTTTACGAAATGCTTGTTAGGGGTGGTGAATGTGCTCCCTCCCCACAATGGGGACCTGGAGCCCACATAGTTATATGTGCTCATAAATGTTTAATGTATATTAAATGTACAGTGAGAACTATACCTGTAAGCAAAAGGAGCTACAATAATTGGTAAAAATTAAATCTGTTCCAGTACTCAACAGATGCCAGCCAAATGATTCAATTAAAAGTTAGCTCGTATGTGCTTTACAGCAGTGTTCTTCAACCGGTGAGTGGCCACGGAACACATTAAACCTTTTTTTGTGTGTGTGGGCCGGGGGTGTATAAAAAAAAGTTAAGGAACACTGCTTTATAGAACGTCGCAGCATTTGTTGACTCCGTGGCTCAATGGTTAAGTTGTTTGCTTAGCGCTCTTATGGTTTTGGGTTCGTTCACCAGACTGCTTCCTTGGGTCGCGAAAGCAATTTATACGGATATCCCCGAGATCGCCACTGGAGCTACTGAGTCCGTGTTTTGTACAACACACTCTGCCGGCAGCTAGTCGCTCTTGTGGGATGAAACACGATGTAATGAAGTTAATCTCTCTAAACTTTAAGCTTTCAAACGTTCGGTACCTCACCATTACAACCAAATGGAAAGGAACGTACAATTTCAAGATAATTAAAACAGGCGTACTGTGTAATAAAATGCAGCTATAAACTAATTACCCATTTTAAACAAGATTTCATAAAGATTTAGCAGCATAAATCAACACCGAGTTGCTAACGTAAAGCAGATGAAAGCTCGGGCAGAAATATATCTGGTTACTTGCGTCTGATTTCAACATTTAGTCATCATCAAGTTTCCATCAAGTTTCCTGTTCACAGACATGGCCGATCGTGTATCTCCACGGCTTAAATCTTCAACAGATGTTCAAATTCGTGCGGTAACATGTTTCATGCCATTACCACAAAATAATATGAATTTTCTCTGGTAGTCTTCTTTTGCTTATCTTTCAATAAATGGAAGTAAAGATTAAGAGCTGTGTGTTGAAATGTTAACATGTTAAAATGTAACATGCAATAATTTCCTTTCTAACATCAAATATCCGGTTCTATTTTTTATCTGCTGAAGACATCTTCCATTTGAACGTTAGCCAAGTGACTTAAATTTGATGGCCAATTGATCCTGCGACACTCGAGTCAAGCCTATAAGCCCTTGGGCTTCCTCGCCTAAAGTCGAAGGATATTTTTGGTCTGCTGATTGTTCTTTTTGGGCGTTGATTGTCTTCACGACAAAGAGATCCTTCCCTCTGGTTACTGAAATCGTTTTCAAGCCAGTCCATCCGCCTACTAAGTACAGAAAAGTCCCCACCAGATGTGTCATCATTCTTCTATTTCCGCTATATCCATCTTAAAGAGCACAAACACTGTAATACTGGAAAAAGCAGATATGACAAAAGTTGTCTCATTGCTCAGCTTGGTCACACTTGCAGAGTGGAGGATGGTCAACTCCCTACATACATCCTCACTGGTGAATTACAGGTGAGCAGTAGATGTCGAGAACGGCCTCTACTACGATATACTGACGTGTACATGTAAGGCATGAATGATACAGCTAAAGAGGTAGATTTGTGGAGTGTGTCGTGGACCGTGTTGAGTGAAGAGTGGAAAATCAGAAAGGGAATAGGAGAAGAGAAAAAAAAAGGAAACATTGACTGCAGAAAGATTGAGGGCAGACTGAGAAGAAGCAGACTAAATATATGTGATAGTAACAATGATTCTAGAATCCTATGTTCTAACCACCGCCAACTCTAGATTACGCCATCTAACTAAATCACGTGACTTTTTGAAAACTGGTTAGTGTAAGCCCTTTCCATGTGTTGCATTGTGTGACATTTTAATGTGCTTGCAAAGTTCTGTGTTCTGAATGAATTCGTATTACATATCTACAAGTGGATATTCCGAAGTAGATATACAAGATTTTCAAACTTTGCTGTTAGATTACAGCAATTTGAATTTAAATTCACGGGAGACGGTCGTGTTGCGATGTGTGTGTCACTGTTTCTATTCAGTAGTTTGGATTTTTGGGAACTGGCTGTTTATTCTTTTTCTACTTTGAATGTGGAAAACTTACTTTTAGGGAAAATACTTTAAACAGTTAATTAGAGAAGCATATCTGGAGAATAACGACAGTTGTCAGGTGCAAACTATCTTGTGTTTGAAGAAAACTATTGCTTCCATATTGACTATGCATAAATGGTGCAACCACACTGTGGATAAATTGTGTCA